CTGTGAGTGGCCATGGAGGCGCGACAACTCTGCTTCCGCCAAGTCGCAGCAGGCTAGGTACCCGTTGAACAAGTCCCCCTCCGACGTGATCTAGACGAGTTGCTCTCGGACAGTGCTCCAGTTAAAGGCTATCCAGTCCCGGCCCTATCGGGAGGTCCAAGGGGAACTGCCAGGGCAACCGAAGCGACGGGAGCTGAATCGAAGCTGGGGCCCCAGACAGCTCCAGCTGCACGGCCCAATGCGGGCTGGTTGAGACTCCGAAAGCTCCGCGGGCTCGACGTTCCAGTCGCCCCCGAAGATGAAGGGCTGGCCCAGGGCCTTCAAGGCCTCGCCCAGCTACTTCAGGATCCCGAAGGACGCGTCGTTAAGCCCGCCTCCAGAGACAAGGTATACAGATCCCACCAAGACACCTCCTCTGACCAGGCCGTTGAGCCACTTCAAGCTAACCCGCTCAGAAGGCCAGGGACGCTTCGCGATGGGGGCCTCCGCGATCCAGAGGTGCTCCTCCTCCTCCTCCTCCTCCCTCCTCCTCCCTCCTCCTCCCTCCTCCTCGTCCTCCTCGTCCTCCTCGTCCTCCTCCTCCTCCTCTTCCTCGTCCTCCTCCTCCTCCTCCTCCTCGTCCTCCTCGTCCTCCTCGTCCTCCTCCTCCTCCACCACGTCCTCCTCGTCCTCCTCGTCCACCACATCCTCCTTGTCCACCACGTCCTCCTCGTCCTCCTCGTCCTCCTCCTCCTCCCTCCTCCTCACTCTCCTCCTCTCCTCCTCCCCCCTCCTCCTTCTCCTCCTCCTCCTCCTCCTTCCTCTTCCCTCCTCGTGTCTCCTCCTCCCTCCTCCTCTTCCTCCTCCTCCTCCTCGTCCTCTTCGTGCTCCTCGTCCTCCTCGTCGTCCTCCTCCTCCTCCTCCTCCTCCTCCTCCTCCTCCTCCTCCTCCTCCTCCCTCTCTCTTTTCCTGGGCGGCGGAGGGGCGATGATCCTCAGAACGCGTGCTAGCGCCAACGTGTGCTTGTCCATCGAAGCCCTTCCATACGACGCAGGCAGCATAACCAATGATGGCCAGCACGGGCTGCGTGCTGCTTGTGACGATGAACGGGGCCAACACACGCTGGGCTGAGACACGCCCTGAAGATCATCGAGGGGGGGAGGAAAGGGGGGAGGCAGGAGGCAAGACTGGGGAGGGAGGATGAGGAAGCGGGCGACAAGGGAGGCGAGAAGAGGAGGGCAAATGAGGGAGCAGGAGGAGGGAGAACCACACCGGAGGGAGGAGGGAAGAATAATGAACTGGGGGAGGACGGAGTGGGAGTTCGGAGTAAGGTGGAGGAAATGATAGTGGCAGAGGGGGCGAGGAAGTAGGGCAGGGCAGAGTCGAGGGAGGGGGAGGGGGGAAGCGAGGTAGGGAGAAGGGATGAAGAAATGGGGTATGGATGCGGAAAAGAGAAAAAGGAAAACTGGTAATATGTCAGAATGTTGGGGCCGGACGGTCATTCACTGTCCCTGGGTGCGTGGCTCAAGTGCGGCTCCGCGGAACGGATTGTTGTTGCGTTGCGTTGTGTTGCGTTGTTGTTGTCGCGACCCGGCCCGCGACCCACCCGCGACCAACTTTGCGCCCGCGGGTGCGTCTCGGGTTGGTCTCGGGTTGGTCTTGGGCGGGTCTTGGGTGGATCGCGAGTGGGAAGATGACACCAAACAACAACGTAACAGCACCCCGCACCGCGAACCCCACTTCAGCCACGCACCCAAGGACAGTGAATGACCGTTCGGCCCCTCACTCTGATTATATCAAACTTGGATGTGGGAGAGGGAGGAAAAGGGGGAACATGGGAATGGAGGTAGCGAGCAATACCATGCGGAGAAGGATGTGGAGATTCAAAAAAAACGAGGGGAAGGTGGACGTGATCATGGGCGCTGGTGAATGAAGCAGACGAAGACCTTGCAATACTTTGGCTTGATATGCCGATCCTGCTGCCCAAACGGCAAAAACATACGGGTGCGCAGGAAGAGCAGGAACGATTCATAAGCACGCGCAGGGTTACATTATACAAGCACGTATGTATGTTTGCGCGTAATCATTCTATCACTATGATATACATGTCTACATATACACAGGTGTGAAGACTGTATGCGTGTGCGTGTGGGGGCGTGCAGATCAACATGTTGGCCCTGCTGCGTCCTCCCGCCGCACAAGAACATAGAACATATCCGTATTGAACCAGTATCCCTCCGTCCCTCCCTCTCTCTCTCTATCCGTTATTTCTTCTCTTTTGTGTTATCTCTCGCTCTCTCGTTCTTTCTCTCTCTCTCTCTCTTTCTCTCTTCCCCCCTTCCTCCTCCACGGCCTCTTCGCCCTCCGCTCGTTCTGCCGCGCGCACCCCCTCTCTGCCCTCCTCCTTGCTGGCATCCCCCTAAGAGCCCAGGATGGCCCCGAGAGCCTCCCCGAGAGGGCCTCGAGAGGCACAGATCCTTGCTGATCGTGGTTCTCTAGCGTGTCTTTGCTTGGGGCTCCTTGCCTCTTCGAGCTCCCGACGTCTCGAGACGACCCACGAGGCCACCATGACTGCCCCAAGGCGGCTCAAGAGGCCCCCAAGAGGCCCCCAAGAGGGCTCGCCGGTGACGGCCGAAGAGGCGCACTGAGAATGCCTGAGAGAGCCCCACAACGGCACCAAGAAGGGCCCTGGAAGATGAGCACGAACCTCTAATTCGAGGCCTTCCGCCCCAACAGGGCTCAGGAGGCCCCAAGAGGGCCAAAAGAGGCTTCCGAGATGCCACCCAGAGGGCCCCGAGAGGCACGCGACATTGACGTTCCTTAGCCTTTTCAATGCTTTGGGGTGCTCCCCCTTTCTAGCTTCCGACGATCCAAGACGGCCGAAGAGACGCTCAAGACCCCCCCATAGACGGCACACGATGCCCCCCCCCAAAGAGCTTCAAACTGGCCCCGCAGGGCTCCAAGACGGCCCAGGAGGGCCACGCTTGCCCCAGAAGGCCCCAAGTCGGCCCCAAGAGTGAGACCACGAAGCCAGAATTCGAGCCTTCTGCCCCCAACAGGCCCGCAGCAGACCCCCTTGCCTTCTTGAACAAATTGCCACCCAGAATGCTGCGCTGGCACGGTGGCGGAATTATCGGGGGCAACTGGATTGTCCACCTCCGTCACATTGTGCCTGTTGCTGCCGTTCCTTGCTCTTCCAATCATGTTGAGGATTCTTCCGTGGGGCAGAACTTACAACTCGGCATCCTCCGGGAGTGCTGATTTGCAGACACCATGGTTTCTGCCTGAGCCTTACGAGGCAACAAGTGTGCGGGAAACGATTTGCAAAAGGATTGCTTCTGAGACGGGTCCACACAGGTGGTAGGACGCAAGGCGGTGTAGTAAGAAAGTGGTGGCAACAAGGGGCAAAAGCATGCACGATGGCTGCGACTTTCTATTTCGCTGGTGAATCAATCCAGCGGGTCGCAACTGAACGTATCCCGATGGCCATCCATGTGCAAAAGCTGACCTCCACCGTGAACGGATTAACCGCTGAAATAGGTGAAGCGATCGAATATCAGACGCCATCCCTGGAGCAGGGACTTCCCCCCCTTGGAAAGTCTGCGCGCTGGAACCGAACCCGATGCCAAGGGCAGACAACGGCACGCTTGGCCGAGTCGATCGAGCACCCTGGGCAACCATGGACGACTGGGACGCCGCGAAGATTCGCCTCCTTGACCCTCTCGGGCTGGTCCGTCACGATGGCGAAGTGGGTCTTCTCCTCCTGGAACTGATTCAGGAGATCCAGCAGCTTCATGCCCTGGCGGACTGGGGCGCGCCTCTGCGCGCGCGCCGGGGGTGCGCTTGTAGAGGCCCGAAGAGCCTCCCCCCTGGGGCCCTAAAAAGGCCCCGCTGGGGGGCAGGGGAGGAGGAGGAGGAGGATCAGGAGGAGGAGGAGGAGGAGGAGGAGGAGGAGGAGGAGGAGGAGGAGGGAGGAGGAGGAGGAGCTGGGGGAGGAGGAGGAGGAGGAGGAGGAGGAGGAGGAGAGAGAGGAGGAGGAGGACGAGGAGGAGGAAGAGGAGGAGGAAGAGGAGGCCCTCTTTTCTGACGCCCCCGCCGCCCCACCACTGATCGCCCCGCCCCGCCACGCGTGCCCAAACAGAAAGAGAGGGGGTGGGGGGGGGGAGGGGGCACGCCGGGGGGCACGCGCGAGGCCCAGGGGGAGGAGGGCGGGCGAGCGACGGGAGGGGGGGATGGCGGAGGGGGGGGGAGGGGGAAGGGGGGAGTGGGAGGGGGGGAGGAGGGGCGGGCGAGGCGACGGGAGGGGGGAGGGGGGGGGGGAGTGGAGGACGGGGAGGGGGCAGGTTCGAATACACCTCCCCCTGGGTTTCGTCACAGGCGCAACGGCGCACCGCAATTCAAGCCGATCCGCCACCGCGCCCCCCCCCCCCCCCCCTCCCCCGGCACATGGAAGCGTGGTAGAATTTGCAGGTGCCCCCTGGTGTGTATCCGATAGACTTCTGAATGACCCGTCCCTCTTCTAGGATTAGGTCGGGCATGTCCTCCTACAGGCACTTTTTGTTGGGGGGAGCAATAACACATGAAAACAAAATACCCCCAACTTTTGAAAACTGGTCAAATAATCGTCCCCAGACTATTTTTTAATATTCGGGGCCTCCAACACTGCCCACGAAGACCACTAATGAAGGGGCCCAGGGACATACAAATATATAGACGCACATAACAGGATTCCCCATATTTCCAAATACTTTCTGGGTTGTCGTCTTCCCCACACTTCCTATATTTTTTAATCTTTCCGGGGAGTCGACGATTAATTGTGTCTGTGTGTTTTCCCCTCCTGAACTACGGCCGCCAAGGTGACCAAACATCGCCTCAGCAGGGCAGCACCTCAGAAGCGCCCAATGAGCTCCAAGAGGCCTCCAAGAGGCTCCCGAACGCCCCCAGCACGCCAAACAAACATGCTCCCCCGCAGTTGTTCAAAGGGTTTCGTTTTCCACGTTTTTCGGTAGACGATCGCTCTAATTGCGATCTTCGACAGCCCGGGGGGCTCACTGAGAGACCCAAGAGGGCCTCTAGAAGGCTTCAAGAGAGCCCCACGCAGTCCTAAGAGGGCCTCTAGAGGAACTCAAGACGGCCTAAAAAGGCCCGCCCAGGAGGACCTCAAGCGACCCCCCAGCCCCAATACTGTCCGAGAGGGCCCTGAGACAACCCAAGAGAGCCCCAAGACGACTGAAGATGGCCCCGAGGGACCCCCAAGACTGTCCCACAGGAAGCGAAGCCAGCCCTGAGACGATCTGCACAAACCCCACGAAGTCGGGGGCGCGCAAACATGGATTCGCGATCCATGGATTTGGCGCGCGGTCGCCAAATCCATGGATCGGGGGAGGTGCCTTCCCCAAAATGCGGCCGTGCGGAAATCTGCGATGTCCATGGAAACGTGACCCGTCGCTTATCTTAGGTCGGGAGTGTCCCCCGATAGGCTAATTTTGGGCGACGAATGAAACAGAGTCAACACAATTTTTCGGAATTGTCAAAACTAGTTTTAGAAATTACTCCGACGGAAGGACCCCACATGAGAATCCTCTAGGCGAATCTGGAAAAAGCCTTCACCGTCGTCCTCGTGGTTGGTGAGGCGTCCTGGCTGTCTCTTCTGCGTATATTTCTTCTCGCCCTGGCGCGGGCCCTCCCCTCGCTCCCTACGTTGCCCCCGACCTCGCCCTCCTGTTTTGGCTCCGGATATTCAGAACGTGGCCCGGGAGTGGTGTTCTGGGAACACGAAGAACACGAAGTGGCCTACGGTTGGCTCCGGGCATTCAAAATGTGGCCCGGGAATGGTGTTCTGGGAGCACGAAGAACACGAAGTGGCCTACGGTTGGCTCTGGACATTCAAAACGTGGCCTGGGAATGGCGTTCTGGCAGCGCGAGAGCCCAAAAGTGGCGACAGTTAAAGGAATTGGATGACCCGCTCGGATTAGTAACATGATCCGCGGGCCCCATGGGGAGGGGGCTCCCGCGCTTGAGACTTCCTCGCAATTCACTCACAAATGTGGCCTGGGAATGGCGTTCTGGCAGCGCGAGAGCCCAAAAGTGGCGACAATGACAAGAATTGGATGACCCGCTCGGATTAGTAACATGATCCGCGGGCCCCATAGGGAGGGGGCTCCCGCTTGAGACTTCCTCGCAATTCACTCACACATGTGGCCTGGGAATGGCGTTCTGACAGCGCGAGAGCCTAAAAGTGGCGACAGTTAAAGGAATTTGATGACCTGCTCGGATTAGTAACATGATCCGCGGGCCCCATGGGGAGGGGGCTCCCGTTTGAGACTTCCTCGCAATTCACTCACAGATGTGGCCTGGGAATGGCGTTCTCGCAGCGCGAGAGCCCAAAAGTGGCGACACTTACAAGAATTGGATGACCCGCTCGGATTAGTAACATGATCCGCGGGCCCCATAGGGAGGGGGCTCCCGCTTGAGACTTCCTCGCAATTCACTCACAGACGAGGCCCAAGGCGAGTGAGTGAGTGAGTGAGTGACTGACTGACTGGTGATGATGATGATCATCACACTCTCTCACGCGCACACTCCTCATCATCATATGTGAGTGCTGATGAGTGAGTGAGTGAGTGAGTGAGTGAGTGAGTGAGTGAGTGAGTGAGTAAGTGACTGAGTGTGTGAGGGATGATGAGTGAGTGAGTGAGGAATGAGTGATGATGATGATGATGGGTGTCCAGAGAAAACAAGAACCCCACTTCGGATGTGAGGAATGAAAGTCGTCCACTGACTATTTCTAATATTTCTGCATTTTCCTCCTGTAGAGGGACATGCCCGACTTAACGCGAGCACGATCTCGGATTCGCCGCACACGCCTGTATCAACATGCAGCCCATGGCGTGTTTCTTTCGGCGATCATCTGTCTCTGCTGCTCGTCCAGCGCACATTGGGAGGGGAGGCGTGTGCGCGGAATCGGCAGTACGATGACAAGCTATGCAACGCAATGGCGAAGAACAGCTGACATTAGGTCGGGCACGTCCCCCTACAGGCGGATTTCTGGCAAAATATCATCAAACATATTCCCAAATGGTCAAACATAGTCAAAACATCGTCCCCAGACTATTTGTTTTTACTACCTTTGAATATTCCTGTAGAGGGACAGGCCCGACTTCAAGCTGACAGCCACAGACCCTCACAGCGGACGCGGGGCCCCACAGGGAGATCCCCACAAAGGCAGCCGGGAGCACGCCCTGCGAGAGGAGCGCGCCACCCTGCACGGGCGGGCGCCAACTCCGGAGGGGCACCGCCGCGAGCAGCGACCGCGGCCGCCGGCGGCGGCCTCGACCGTGCGCCCGTCGCTGCCCTCTGTGCCCCTCGGTGGTCTCCCGCGGCCTCTCTCTGGCGGTCTCCGGCGCGGCGGTCTCCGGCGCGAGCACGGGCGCCTCCGCCCTCCTCCCCTCCTCCAGCGTCCGCGCCTCCCTGCCTCCCTCCCTCCTCCTCCGCCTCTTTGAAGGGGCCCTGGGACATACAGATAAATAAATAAACGCAATTAACAGGATTCCCCATATTTTCCAATAATTTCCGGGTTTTTGTCTTCCCCCCACTTCCCATATTTTCCAATACTTTTTGGGGAATCGACAATTAATTGTGTCCGTGTTTTTTTCCCTCCTCCTCCGCCTCTTCTCGGGCACGCGCTATCATGGATCTGGGATCCGTGGATCTGGCGCAGCATGGCGCCAGTGCTGCCCGATCTGGCGGCGGAGCGCGTCGACTCTGCATGGAGCCGTGGCCCGTCGCGAAGCAGCGCGCCTCACCATCCACGTTTTGGCGCCTCCTCGATCCTCCCTCGCCCCGCCTCTCTGCCTGCCCCCCTCGCCCCTCCCCCCCATGCCCCTCCCCCACACACCTCCCCGCGCAGGACCTCAAGGGACCCCCACGACAGCTGGAAAGCCGACCTCGCGAGAGTGCGAAGCGGGGATTTATCCACATCCGCCGCCTGGGAACCGACGTCTTGGTGCCCCAGCGGGCGGTGGCTATGGATACATTTCGGCCCCCGGGGGGCCGAATATGTCCAGGCGGAGGTCCTGCATAAATTCCCGCCTCGGAGAGAGGAGGCACGCACCTCTGCACTGACCCTGGGTAAGAGTGACCTTTGGTGCGCGGCATTTCGGGGGGCGCGCGGGGCAGCCAAACCCGAACGCGCAAGCCGCTGATATCACAGCGCGTTCGGCGATTGGGGGACCCATTTGGGCCAGCACCAGAGGTCACTCCTGCGAAAGGTCACCCTTACGTCTAGCCGATGACAGGGGGAGGTGGAGGAGGGAGGAGAGAGGATGGAGGAGGAGGAGGAGGAGGAGGAGGAGGAGGAGGAGGAGGAAAAGGAGGAGGAGGCGCGCACCCTCTGCGCCGACGAGCGCGGGATCTGGAGGGGACCGCCGCGGGCCACCCCCTGGCGTCGCTGGCCCTTTGCTGCCCCTCGGCCTCCGGCGGTCTCCGGCGGCTCTCTCGGCGGTCTCCCGCGCGAGGAGCGGAGGGCTCCGTGCGACAAGCGTGGGCCGCGAGCGGGCACCCAGTGTCGACCAGGGCTGAACCTAAACGGTGTTTTTCGTTTTCGCTTCGGCTTCCCTCGCTCTTGTCTCGAGTCCGCCTTTACCGCAAAACGAAATCGAAACGCAAACGGCCCACGAAATCACCGAAAACACCGTTCAGGTCCAGCCCTGGTCTCGACTGCGCACAAGAGTGACCCTGGGTAAGAGTGACCTTTGGTGCGCGGCATTTTGGGGCCCGCGGGGGGGACCAAAAACTAGCGCGCGAGACGCAACTACCGCATCGCGGTCGGCAATCGGGGGGCCCCATTGGGCCCGCACCAAAGATCACTCCGGCGAAAAGTCCCTCTTACGCGTAGTCGGCAAACTGCCGAATGGAGCGCTGGGGGTCCGGTCTCACGAGCACGGGCTTCTTCATCAGCGGCGCCAGTGTTCCCACCTCGAGCATATCGTCTGGGTCGTAGATGATCAAATTTTTCACGAGGATGAACCCCCTGGGCCGCCGCCGCCGCGTGTTCGCCCCCATCACCCTTCCCCCGTCTTGCGCCCCCCTGTCTCCGTCCGGCAGCAGGCTGGGCGAGTCTGGCGCCTAGGTCGCAATCCTCCTCTTCGTGCATACCTTTCTTCTTATGCTACTGATCCAGTGCACTGCAACTTGGACCCAAGAGGCGAGAGAGAGAGAGAGAGCGCGAGAAAAACAACACAAAAGCGAGAGGTATCAAACACGAAACGAAGGGAAAGTGAAGCGCCAGCTGCGCCGAGAAGGGCGCCAAACTCCTCCAATCTGGCGCCCTCCCGTTCCCATTCCCCTTCTCCCTCTGATGCTGATGCTGCTGCTGTGGTGGCAGTATCGTCCCGGAGGACTGGAGCCGCCTCCCGATCCAGATCCTTCTCTTCCTCCTCCATTCCTTCTCCTTATTCATAACTTCTCCCTGTCGCACCCCGAGGCCCGTTTTTGGGGCGGGCGTCTCGCCTGAGACTTCCTCACCATTTATGGCCCCGAAACTTCAAAATTGACAACACCTTCTCAGATGGAGGACGGGTCGTTTTCAAAATGTGGCTCTCGCTCTGGCGCCGCGCATATTCGTTTTCAAGATTTGCAGAGCATTTCACGTACTGAGGGCGGGACGTTTTCAAAACGTGGCTCTCGCCTTAGCGCACCGTGCCTTCGCTCTACACGTGTGCAAGAGCTTCACGGATTGAGGGCGGGTGGTTTTCAACATGTGGCTCTCGCTTCAGCGCCGCGCACATTCGTTAAAACAGAAAACCTACAAGAGTTCAGAAGGGTTGAGGGCGGGTCGTTTTCAACATGTGGTTCTCGCCTTAGCGCCGTGCGCATTCGTTTTGAACATTTGCAAGAGCTTCACAGATGGAGAGCAGGTCGTTTTCAAAATGTGGCTCTCGCTTCAGCGCCGCGCATATTCGTTTTTAAAACTCGGCCCAGCCATGCTCTCGACGTGTCCAATCCAACCCTCGCCCTCGCCCTCCTCGCCCTCCTCTTCGTTCTCGTCTTCCTTCTCGTCGTCGTGCCCCTCCTCTTCCTCCTCCTCCTCCTGCTCATGCTCCTCCATATGCTGCTCCTCCTCCTGCTCCTGCTCAAGCCATCACCTCCCACTCCTCTTATTATTGGGCGAGCCGCGGATCGAAAGCTCGTAGCGCCAACTCTTCCGCTGCCGCCTCTCCCTGCATATGGTGCGTCCCCGCCCCCCCCCCTCCCCCCCCCCCGCGGGAGGACGAAAAGGTAATTAACCAGCCCCGAGTTTACCCCCTTCCCTAAGGTTGACAAGCCGAAAAGGCGATGCCAATCATCTGGGATAGGAGTATGTTCCGGGCTGGTCAGTGAGAGGGGAGGGGGAAGACGAGGAGGGCTGAGATGAGGAGGAGGAGGAGGAGGAGGAGGAGGAGGAGGAGGAGGTGGAGGAAGCGGGATAGTGTGATGATGAGGAGGAAGAGGAGGAGGAGGAAGAGGAGGAGAAGGAGGAGGAGGAAGAGGAGGAGGAGGAGGGGCAGAGCATAAGGCGACGCTGAGGAGGGCGAAGTGGAGGACGAGGAGGTCGAAGAGGAGGGGGATCACATGAAATCTGGCAACGCCGCGCCGTGGAAATCCCCACGACACGGCGGACGAGCGAACGGCAGCGGGACCGTCCCACGCACTGTACGGGAAGAGGGACCCTGGACAGCAACAGGCGGTAACGGATGGGCTGATGGGGGAGGGGAACGCAGGCTGGGCGCGCTGGCGCCAGATCTGACGTCCTGCCCCCCCTCCCCATTCCTTTGCCCTGCGCCGGGCCCCCCCTGTCTCAAAAGAGTCGGGTGGCGGGACAGACCTTGACGGACGAGCGAAGACGGATGAGGGAAGACAGTGGACCGGGGGCGACGGCGAGGCAAGAGAAGGAGCACTGGAGAGGGGAGGGTCGTTCCGTCGGGCGGAAGCCCAATAGGGAAGGTCTTGCGTGCGGCACGTGCTGCAGCGGAGAAGCCTTTGCGGGTGCAGGGCCACGGCCAATGTTGCGGGGAGAGCACCGTGCACTTGGACGGAGGCTCCATGAATATAACTACAGTGGATGCCCGTCCACAAGAAACCTTCCACAAGACACCCAATCCTGAGACCCCGGGACGTCCACTGATTTCTGGTGCGGGAACGTCACGCCTTCCATAGCAAAACCATTCAGACCCAATGAGCCCAGGGCACCCTGGAGGCAAGCAGGGTGTTTCTTGGCATGGGTCTCCACTGTGCATGTGGCGCGCGCTTCAGCGCCAATGGCGCTGATGCGGCGTCGAGCGCCGATCCACGGCATCCGCGCAGACCTCCGAGAGTCTACGGTCGGGAACGTCTACTTAGCGTGCCGCGGCGGTAGCGGCGGCCCTGGCGGCCCTAGCGACACGAAAAACAAGCATTCGTGTCCATGTCGTCGTCAAGTTCTTCGAGCATTGAGCACCTGCTTTTGTGAATGCCTTGTTTTAGGTCGGGCATGTCCTTCCACAAAGGGATTTTGGACGAAAACTCAAAAATACTCGAAGAATGCTCAAACATAGCCAAAGCTAGTAGAAGAATCGTCCCCAGGCTATTTTTTCTACTATTTGGGAATATTCGTCCTGTAGAGGGACATGCTCGACTTAACGCTAGCACGGTCTCGGATTCGCCACACACACACACCCGTATCAACATGCAGCCCATGGCGTGGTTTGTTTCGGCGATCATCTGTTTCTGCTGCACGTCCAGCGCAAATTCGAGGGGAGGAATGGGGGCGGGACCGGCAATACGATAACAAGCTAAGCAAGGCAATGCAACGCAATGGCGCAGGGACCAGCCCGACTTAAGCCTTGACTTCTCCCCCCGCTGAGCGAAAAGCCGGAGCGACAATTGCGCTGGGTCTCCCGAGCTCGTCTTCTGCGGCAAGAGCGCCGGAGAGAAGGCGCGAAGCTCGACGGGGAGGTGGGCGACGACCACGAGAGGGGAGAGCTCCTCCTCGTCGTCCTCCTCTTCCTCCTCCTCCTCCTCCTCCTCCTCCTCCTCCTCCTCCTCCTCCTCCTCCTCCTCCTCCTCCTCCTCCTCCTCCCCCCCCCCCCCCTCCCCTCCTCCCCCTCCCCTCCTCCTCTCCTCCTCCTCCTTCCTCCTCCTCCTCCTCCTCCTCCTCTGCCTCCCCCTCCTCCTCCTCCTCCTTCGAGGGATGAGGGAGTGGGCAGCGTGTCCGGGTCTTCGGAGGAATGCGAGGCGGAGTCTTATCCATAACCACAGCCCAGGAGATAGAACTCCTGGGGGCCTCGGCAGGCGGTGGACGTGGATATATATATATATATATATATATATACATCTATATATATATATATAGATACATATATATGTGTTTATATATATATATATATATGTGTATATACATATATATATATATATACATGTATAGGTATTCATGTATTTACTTGCCCCCCAACCCTTTCTTGCAGTCAGTCGACTGGTGTTGGTAGTGAAATTTCGATGAGCATGTCATATCGGGCAAATTCTGGGTCCAACGTCTGGTTCTCAACCTCATTGCATTGGTAGCCGCGTAGGCTCCAGTGGAGCGCTTTCTGAGCGCGCCAGGGCGTGGGCGGATTCCGTCTTTGGACCGACGATCGACGACCGAAACGACGCCAACCGACGACGACGACCAACCGACCGACCGAAACGACGACGACCGACGACGACCGATGGACCGACTGAGGCGACGACCGACGACGACCGATGACGACCGACAGGCCGACCGACCGACGGACTGAGACGACGATGACCGGCGACGACGACCGACGGACCGACTGACCGACAGATGAGCGCGCGGGCTTGCCCACTTTGGGAGCGAGGCGTGGATACAATGCTAGGACCCCCGCCCCTGGCCCGTCAGGCCCCCCCCGTCCCCACAACTTATTCATATTTCTAAAGCCCTACGTCAGGTGAGGACCCAGCCTTCACATTTTACGAGGGAAGGTGTTCCAGCCGCCAGCCGCATGCGGCGTGAGTTTCAGCCATGCACTTTTACCGAGAGCGAGCGTTCCAGCCGCGCACAGTGCGGGTTCCAGCCATGCGTGTTTACCCAGCGCGAGCGTTTCCAGCCGCACACGGCGCGGGCTGCAGCCATGCGCTTCTACCGAGCGCGAGCGCTCCAGCCGCCCACGGCAAATTCTCACTGGCAAATTAGTCCACTGACTGTGAGGCCCGAGCACCGGATCCGCCGTCTGCCGACGTCCCTGAAGCTCGATCCCCCAGGAGAGGAGGAGGAGGAGGAGGAGGAGGAGGAGGAGGAGGAGGAGGAGGAGGAGGGGCAGGAGGAGGAGGAGGAGGAGGAGGAGGAGGAGACCTGATGTTGTGCATGTTCTTGTCGTACACGGGCAGCCGCGAGTGGCCGTTCCTGTCTATTTCCTTCAGCTTCTCCTGCGAGGTGCCAGAGGAGGCGGCGCGCACCCGCAGCCCGTCCAGCGATCATCAAGGGGCACAAGGACACACAAATAAATACACACAAATAAAATGATTCCCCATATTTTCTCATATTTTCTGAGTTTTTGTCTTTCCCCCCAATTCCCATACTTTCTCATATTTTCCTGGGAGTCGACGATTAATTATGTCTGTGTGTTTCTTTCCCTCCTGAGATCAGCAGCAGGAAGAACACGGTGGGTAGTTTGGCAGAGAAGGTCAACAGATCTCTCTTGGCGGCCAGATGAGCTGCACTATATCCAGTCGCTTTGGCACATGCACGTCGGGATGCCCAGAGATTGCAATGCCGATGTAGGGTGCCATATCGCCCGCCATGCGTGACACATGATTGGCCACGTACGCAAATCTGAACTCCACTCCAGGAGGAGCAACATGATGAGGATGAGGACGATGACATTTCCAGCCCGCAACCGCCCAGGACCTCCTTGAACCCCTCAAATATCCCACTTCCTCCTTCTTCTCGTGGTACGGAATCAGACGGCTCCTGGATCCTGGGGCTTTCCACCGGGACCAGCATTTGACCCAATGACATTTTTTGGTTGACGGTCCCGGGGACCAGGAAAAACCCCAGGAGGCCCAGAACAGCGCAAAAGGCCTTCAGGACCCTGCCTCCTCCAAGACTCCTTGGCGATACCCCCAGGACCGGCTTTTCGTCCTGAAGAGTTTTCTGACGGCCCAGGGGACTGGTAAGGCCTCTCAGACGCCGGGCAGTATCCAAAAAACTCCCGTCGTACCTTTTCATCCAGGAGGCTCCTGGGCCAAACATCTACTCCCAGACGCATCCCGGGGAATCCTGGGGTGCATCCTGGCCAGAATGTCGAGGCGGATCCAGCCATGGGGCGACGCCATCCTCCGGACCCCCCCCCGGTTCCCAGATGCATCCCCCACTGGGGCTCCCGAACTACCTGCCTCCACGCCCCCTTTTCGGCGAGGCGCCCTGGGACACTGGATCGGAGGTCTTTGTGCTGTTCCCTGCGGTGTCCCCCGAAGTCCTGGCCCACCGACTTCGGGAGCGCCCGGCACGCTGCACTGGGCGTTGGAAGAACTGTATAGAGCCCTTACAAATAGGTCGGGCATGCCCCCCTACAGGAAGATTCTGGACGACAAATTAAAAAAACAGTAAAAAAATCCGCCGGCCCCCTTGTGGGGCCACCAGGCTGTAGGCCAGAGGTTCGCAGTTTCCTGTGCCAGTTGCAGCTTCCAGTTTCCACTGTTACAATTTTACTTCTTGATGCTTACTGTTCCTTGTTGGCTTCTTGCTGCTTACTGTTCCTTGTTGGTGGACCGCGCGAGGGGGGGAGGCCCTAAACGGGTATTTGTACCATGGAGAAACCGTGTTGTCTGAATTGCTGGGGCGGGTAAAAATTGACACCCCTCACGCAGATCGGCGGGGTCAGGGTCCCCAAAAAACATGGGATTGGCCACATTTCTGAAATTCGGTGGCACCCCTTACGCAGATCAACGGGGTCAGGGTCCAAAACACACAAGGGATTTGCCACATTTCTGAAATTCAGCGGCACCCCTCACGCAGATTGGCGGGGTCTGGGTCCAAAAATATATGAGATTTATAACATTTCTGAAATTTGCTGACACCCCTCACGCAGATTCTGGGTCCAAAAACACAAGGGATTTGCCACATTTCTGATATTCGGTGGCACCCCTCACGCAGATCGGCGGGATCAGGGCGCAAAAACACACAGGATTTGCAACATTTCTGAAATTCGGTGTCACCCCTCACGCAGATCGGCGGGGTCAGGTTCCAAAAACACAGGGGATTAACACTACAGACAAACTGAGCAGGGAATGTCTGAGACTGGAACCGGCAACAAACAAGCAGGCCGTCTGCTGAGAAGCCGCGACGATCTTCAGCAGTCTGTCCGCGAGGCATTCGGCACCAACGGGCGTCAGCGACGCGCCTCGCCAACCCGTGGCTGGACGCCTGCTCGCTCTTCCGTGGCCAATCGCCCCTCCTTCTGCTCCTCCTCCTCCGCTTTTTCTTCCTCCTCCCCGTCCTTCCTCCCTTCTGTTGGCCCTCGACCTCGTACGCCTAGTCACTCTTTTCTTCATCCTGCATGTCCTCGTCGTGCACCCCCTTCCTCCTCCCCCTTCTTCGACCTCCTCCTCATCCTCCTGTTCCTCCTCCTAGTACTCCTCGTCCTCGTACTCCTCGTACTCCTCGTCCTCGTCCTCGTACTCCTCTATTTGATTGTCCTCGTCCTCGTACTCCTCGTCGTCGACCCCTTCGTCGCCGCGCGCCCGCATGCCTTGTCCAAACACTCGCGCAATTCGAGCATCTCGACCTTGTCCATGGGCCGCATGCTGTCGGTGACCTCTGGCAGGGGAAGGCCGCGAGACACCGCCGCGAAACAGAGGCACTCATGAGCCAACCCACCGCCCAGCGTCTTAGCCCCTGTTGGCGGAGAAGGAGGAGGATGAAAAAGAGGAGGGAAGGAGGAAGGGAGGGAGGAAGGCAGGAAGGCAGGAAGGACTGAGGGTGAGCATGATGATGGGGAAGAGGAGCGGGAGAGAGAGGAGGAGCAGGAGGAGGAAGGCGGAAGGAAGAAAGGAGGGAGGGAGGGAGGAGGGAGAGAAAGAGGACGACGAGGAGGATCAGTGACCCGCGCGCCATGCAACTGCCCCGCGGCCCGGGGCGGTGTCGGCCGGCCCGGCGATCGAGGCCGGAGTGAGCCCCCGCGGAAGGAGGAGGGGCCGACGGATTCGGAGCCTCTGCGGTCGGCAACTTCTGCACGGCGCGCCGCGGCGGCAGCCCCGGCGACCCGCTGTGCCCTGCAAGCGGGTACACCCTGCGAAATGCTCAAGAAATCATGGGTTAAGAAATTCAGAGTCTGCGAATTTGAATTAAAAAACCCGAACTTCTATTAAAATCTTGGGATTTACATTGAAAAGTTAAGAATAATCGAGACTCTGGCCGGAAACTTGGGTTTTCTTAAGCATCGCCTACAGTGTATAGCGCTCTGCTCCGCTCCGTGGGGCGGCAGGGTGGGACTGTCTCGGGGCCCTCTCGCTCGGACACGGGATGGGGCAGTGGCCGGCGTGGTGTCGCGCCGAAGCGTGGCGGGCCACCACCTGCGGACCGACGCGCCGAGCCGACGCTCCCGACCGCAAGGCGGCACCGCGCGCGCCCCGACGGGGCGCGAGGGCCAGGCGGAGAGAAGTGCCGCGGCCACCTGCACGACACCGAGGACACGACGGCGACGGCGAGGACGGCAGGCGAGTGAGCGTAGCGACGACGGACGACGGGACGGCGGCGACGCGACGGACGACATCGATCGGCGACCCGCAACCGTGGTCCAGTGCGCACAGGACCTCTCCGCCCTGGATGGCGAACCGGCGAATGCGTACGCAGGCGCGGCACCCACAGACAGGATCCTATTTTGCAGTGCGCTCTCCCACACACTCGGGAGGCGGGAAGTATACTCGCCCTTTTGCTCCTGCCCCCTCGTCCTGGCCCGCACAGCGGCAGATCGTCGACGACGAAGCGGCAGAAGAGGCCAACAGGTCTTCGCCTGCAGCCTGCAGCCCACGCGTCGCCACCCGAGCGGTGGGCCGAGAGCTCGACGACAGGATCCTTCGGTATGTCATTGCCAGTGCTCGTGTCGTTGTCCGTCATTGCTGCAGGTAAGCCAGGAGGAGGAGGAAGAGGAGGAGGAGGAGGAAAAGGAAAAGGAGGAGGAGGAGGAGGAGGAGGAGGAGGAGGAGGAGGAGGATAGGAGGGAGGGAGGGAGGGAGGGAGGGAGGGAAGGAGGGAGGGAGGGAGGGAGGAGGGAGGAGGAGGAGGAGGAGGAGGAGGAGGAGGAGGAGGAGGAGGAGTAGGAGGCGGCAGCCCAGCCCAGGCAGCGCCCCGCCTGGGCGGCTGGCCACCCCCTGTGCGGCACGAGGGCGGCGGTGCCGCGCAGCAGCCGCTGTGCAGAGTGTGCTGCGCAGCGGTCGCCGTGCGCGGCGAGGCAGGCGCGGAGGAGGCGACGCGGGGGCCGCGGCCAGACGCCGCCTGGCGCGAGCCTGCGCCCCCCAGGAGGAGCAGTGTGAGTCGGCGCTAAGAGGGCGGAGGGAGGGGACAGGAGGGGGGAGGATGAGGGCGGAGGGGGTAGCGTGAAACGAGGGTGGAGGGGGGCGAAAGGAGGGGGGAGGATGAGGGCGAAGGGGGGAGGATGAGGGCGGAGGGGGGATGATGAGGGCGGAGGGAGGGGACAGGAGGGGGTAGCGTGAAAGGAAATGCCACCATGCCCCCTCCTCTGCCTGCCCTTGGTCCTTCTGTTCCTCCCGCTCCTCCCGCTCCCAAGCCCTGCTGCTGTTCGTCTCGCCCCAACGCGGGCCACTTTTCTGAACCCGATTCTGTATTCGTCATTGTCGCTCCCCTCATTTCACCTCCTCCGCCTTCCCCTGGTCCTCCTTTCCCTCCCGATCCTTCCGCTTTAGTTCCTGCTGCTGCTGTTCGTCCTCATCCTTTTCCTCCTGCGCATCCGCCTGCTCACCCGTCACCTCCTCCTCCTGTGCACGCAGCTCCTCTTTTTCCGATTGCGCATGACACGAAGTGGTCCTCCTGCGTGAGTCGCATGTCGGCTATGACACGCGTTCGCGGATAAAGAAAACTCAGCGCCGTGGGAAGGGATGTGAGGGCTTCTCCCCTATTCTCCTCTTCCTCGACGCCCCATCCTCCTCCTCCTACTGCTCTGATGCTCCCCCCCTCCGCGTGCCTCCTTGTGCGTGATCTCGGCGACCCCGCGCATGATCTTGGCCTCGTCCCGCTCCTGCCGCACCCCCCGCGGGGGGAAGGGCGGGTCGGCGGCGGGACGGGGAACGGGGGGTGGGGCAGCAGGGAGGAGGGAAGAAGTTGACTGGGCCCTGGAAACAACACGGCATTGTATTTACCGGTATCGGTTTGCAGCATCTTGTCTGCTGGCACCGGCGCCGTGTGTTCCCACTTCTCGCGTGCTTATTTCAGGTGCTCGTCCAATTCCCAATCCCGGAGCACTTGTTCCCCGATTCTGGGAACCGTCCTTCGATGTACTGTCTTCATGATCCCATGGCATGTTTTGGAACATGATCGACCCACGAACTCGGAAAGGAATATAGAACTGTAACACATGGCAGCGTTTTCAAAGACACCTGATTGGGTGACGGGCGAATGCAATGCTGAAGGTATCGGTCTTGATGTACCCTGCCGAGGCCTGTGCTGTGCTGAACCGTGCTGAATTGCGATGTGCCATGGCGCGATTGTGCTCTATAGCGTCGTGGATCGAGTCCTCCTTTGCATCCGAGTCCTGACCGAACTGATCTGGATCTTGAGCTCGAGCTGCCTGAACACATGGTAGCTGCCCCAGATCTAATGGACAAGGGAACATGCCAGGAGGACGCGCCGCGAAACGTCCCAAGGGATGCGCCAAGCGACGTGAAAGGGGACGTGCCATGGGGTCGCACCGCGGGACATGCCAATGGGACGCGCTACGGAACGTGCCAATGGATGTGCCACGGGATGCGCCAGGGGACGCGCCACGCGACGTGCCAGGGGGACTCGCCAAGGGACGCCCCACGGAACGTGCCAAGAAACGTGCCAAGTTGCAATGCTGAGTGTATCGATCTTGATGTACCGTGCCGAAATCTGTGCTGTGCTGCGCCGTGCTGAATTGCGATATGCCATACCGCGATTGTGCTCTATATGGCCTCGTGGATCGAATCCTCCTTTGCATCCGAGTCCTGACCGAACCGATCTGGATCTTAAGCTCGAGCTGCCTGAACACATGGTAGCTGCCCCAGATCTAATTGACAGGGGGACGTGCCAGGAGGACGCGACGCGGAACGTCTCAGGGGATGCGCCAAGCGACGTGCCAAGGGACGTGCCATGGGGACGCACCGCGGGACGTGCCAAGGGGACGCGCTACGGAACGTGCTGGGGACAAGCGTTTCGCTGGAGACATCCTGTCAAAATCCTCAGAATTCCTGCGCGCGGGACGCGGCACGTGCGAGACATCCTCGGAATTCCTGCGAGCGGGACGTGAAAACAGGCATTTCGCTTGAGACATCCTCTGAATTCTGGCCCCCCACGAGGTCCCCGCTCGAGACATCCTCAACACATCAGAAAAAAACAAGCATTTCGCTTGAGACACCCTGCCAAAATTCAAAGAAATCCTCGCAAAACAAACGAATTAGTCGAGACATCCTCCACATTCCTGCGCGCGGGACGCGGCACGCGCGAGACATCCTCTGAATTCCTGCGAGCGGGATGTGAAAACAATCATTTTGCTTAAGACATCCTCTGAATTTTAGCCCCCCACTAGGCCCCCGCTCGAGACATCCCCCAATTTTGCAAAACCAGCGTTTCGCTCAAGACATCCTCAACAAATTAGGAAAAACAAGCGTTTCGCTCGAGACGTCCTGCCAAAATTCAAGGACATCCTGGCAAAACAAACGAATTGGTGTAGACATCCTCGAAATTCCTGCGCGCGGGACGCGGCACGCGCGAGACATCCTCGGAATTCCTGCGCGCGGGGCGCTTTTCCGCGTCGCGGTCGGCTCTGCAAAACCAGCGTTTCGCTCGAGAAATCCTCAGCAAATTCTGGAAACAAGCGTTTCGCTCTAGACATCCCCAACTCTGCAAAACCAGCGTTTCTTTCGAGACATCCTCAACAAATTCTGAAAAACAAGCGTTTCGCTTTAGACATCCTCTCAATTAATTCCGCCGGCCCACCTTGACCTCGAAAATGATCAGGAAATAATTCCGCCGGCCCATCTCCCGCATGGCACCGGGGACAAGTTTACCTACTAAAAGAGAACCCTGGGACGGAGCCCTTTCCGGGAAAAACAAGAAAAACTGCCCTGCCGCCAATTCCGGGGCCCACTGCAGGGATGAGACAGGAGGATAAGGGAGAGACATCAGGGGCCGCAGGGCCAATCCCCCCCCCTGGGGGCTTCTTCTCTTCTTCCTTACTGTGCAGCTACCACGTTTGATCCCCCCCGACCAACAAGCGCAGCCTGCAAGCCGATTCGACTGCGCTGGTCCTGGATGCTGGCTGCTAGCCGTGAGGCGGCTCGGAAGATGTACATCGAAATCGAAACGACAATCGCCCAAATTGTCAGGAAGGCCATCGACATGTTCCTTTTTATTATGAAGAGGATGAGGGTGGATGAGGACGGAGGAGCGAGGTAAGATACGATTGGGCACGATCGTGGTCTCGCTTCTCTCTCTCTCTCTCGCGTTGTCGGGTGGGTGGGTGGGAGCGAAGGGCGATGGGAAGGAACGAGTGTGAGGGGCAGGGAGGAGCGATCATGATGATGATGAATGGTGAATGGTGAATGGTGAATGATGGTGATGATGATGATGATGATGATGATGATGCTGCTGCTGCTGCTGCTGCTGCTGCTGCTCCTGCTGATGATGATGATGATGATGATGATGATGATGCTGATGCTGATGCTGATGCTGATGACGACGATGAGGAGGGGGAGGAGGAGGAGGAGGAGGAGGAGGAGGAGATGGAGGACGAGGAGGACGGGGATGATGATGATGAGGAGGAGGCGGAGACGGGGGAGGAGGAGGAGGAGGGGGAGGAGGAGGAGGAGGAGGAGGAGGAGGAGGAGGAGGAGGAGGAGGAGGAGGAGGAGAAGGGGGAGGAAGAGGAAGATGAGGAGGACGGGTAGGAGGAATGAAGGAGGAGGAGGAGCGAGGGGTGGTGATGAAGAGTCGGAGAAGGAAGAGGACGAGGAGTGGGACGAGGAAGAGAAACAGGAGGAGTAGGAAGGGAATGAGGATGAAGAGGATGAGGATGTGACGGTTGAGGACTAAAGGTGAAAGTGGAAAGATGGGTGAGCGAGGTTCGAAGATCATGATGATGAGGACGATGAGGAGGAAGAGGAGAACGACTACTCACGAGGAGTAAGGGAAGGATGAGTGGAGGAGGTGAAGTGAAGTGAGGAGGAGGGGATGAAGTGAGGTCGAGTTCGGGCAATACATCCTGCAACTCGAAGAAGCCGTCGACGAGCTTCTCCTTCCCTTTGAAGGTCAACTCAGTGTTCTGCTTCCGGTCCTCTCAGGAAGTGCGTCGGTACACGTGCACTACTCTACGTCCAGGTTCGCGTCGCGATAGCGTCGGTTTGGGTCTCTGGCAGCGCCATGGATCGCTCATCCTTGAACGATCTCCTCTATCCGAGAGCGGACGCCTTTCAAGGTGTACTAGTTTCAGGTCGCAAGCGGCCTTCAAACTTGAACGCCCGCGCTGGTGTCGCCGCCGCGTCGACGCGGCGCCAACACACCGTGCACGTCTTCGTCCCAACTGTAGCAGAGCAAATGGGAAGAGGAGGATGGGGGAGGACGAGAAATATAATCACCCTGAACGCTCTGCAGGGAAACGCAGCTACGGGACATCTCCTATGCCCGCTGGAGCGGCGTTTGGAACGATCTGAGGGAGGAGGAGGAACAGGTCGTCCGCATCGCCCTCGCCCTCGCTCTCGACCTTGCTCTCCCCGAGATCGTGGCCACGCTGCCTCGGCTCCCTGCCTCCCCAGCCGACGCAACGTTTCTTTGTTGCCCACCAGGGCTGCGCGCTCGGGACGGCCTTGGGTGCCCCCTCTTCCATGAAAAAGGGAGAAGTGCACGGTTTCCCCCAGGACCGTAGGCGACCCGACGAGGAGGAGGGGAAGGAGGAGGAGGAGGAGGAGGAGAAGGAGGAGGATGAGGAGGAGGGGGAGGAGGAGGAGGAGGAGGAGGAGGGAGAAGGGGGGAGGAGGAGGAGGAGGAGGATTAGAAGGAGGTGGAGGATATAGGAGGAGGAGGGAGGAGGAGGAGGAGGAGGGAGGAGGAGGGAGGAGGGGAGGAGGAGGAGGGGGAGGAGGAGGAGGAGGAGGAGGAGAGGAGGGAGGAGGAGGAGGAGGAGGAGGAGGAGGAGGAGGAGGACGGGTCGCCTCCGCCCTCCGCAACAAAAACCCTCCAGGGAGGAGGCGGCCCCGAGGGGGGCCGGGTCCTGGACGTGCTCCTCTCCAGGACCCCGCTCCTCCCGAAGCGGCGCGTGGCGCTCCGAGGGGGCCCGCGGAGGGCCCCCGGGGCCCTGGAGACGGTGAGACACTTCTATAGGGCACCCTTTCCTCCTCCTCCTCCTCCTCCTCCTCCTCCTCCTCCTCCTCCTCCTCCTCCTCCTCCTCCTCCCCCCGCCCTCTCCGCTCGCACCGCCGTGGGCGCCCCCCCCCCAAGGCAAGGATGCAAGGGCCTTGGAAGGCTCATGCCGACACTTTTCGAGTGGGGCTGGCCAGCGGAAGCTGCCCGGGATGGGCTGGAGGGGCAAAGGTGCAAGGGTGACCTTGGGAAGGTGGCTCATCCTCACTACGCGGGTGGACGGTATCCTCCCTCGTGATGTGCGGAAGCGGGGGGGAGGGGTCTGGCTCCAGGCCTCTCCTTAGTGCGACTGCTTGCAAAGAGTGCCGCCCCTGAGGAAGACCCCACCTGCTCGAAACAGGCGCCACGACGACCGCCAAGAGATCTGCTCCATGGGGGAGGGGGGGCAGGGGGGCTTGGGGGCCCGCGCCCATCGGCAAAACAATGAATCAAACACCGGCCATCTCTCGCCGTGCTCATCCCTCAGAAGTCGGTCCCTGGACATCTGCAGCGGGTAATTTCGGGCTCGGACTTCGGGGCGGATGCCGCCGTGCGGCGACGAGGAGCCTCCTCCGAAGCGGGCACAGAACACGCTCCAGAACATCGGGCTCCCGACCTCGCTGCATCCAGGACCCGCTTTCTTCATGTGAAGTGCCCTGTGTCCTCGCTGGGATAGATGTTGAACGTGCAGCCCTTGTTGCGCCTCGAACGGCGGCGGGCGGAAGGGAAGGACCCCGACGTCATGCCCACCGAGGGTGGCCGCTGCTGAGACCCGATTCTTCTCGGCGCGGCGAACAGGGGGGCCATGGTTCATTTCCAGAGGGGAGGAGGTAGAGAGAGGTAACAACACGTACATACATATACACATAGGACATGGGGATATACATCGATAGAGAGAGAGAGAGAACGAGAGAACGAGAGAGAGACACAGAGAGAGAGAGACAGAGATAACGGGATAGAGAGAGAGAGAGAGAGAACCAGAGATAGAGGGAGAGAGAGAGAGAGAGAACGCGAGTTCGAGAGAGGGAGAGAGCAGGGATACACAAAGAGGGACGTACACATATAGTGATATACTTATATATATATCTGTAAATAGAAACTGCTGCACGTATGCACATCACTATAACTGTACATTGATCGTATGTATGAAGCGATATCTCTATATATACATGCAAATACACATATATAAACATATGTGTACATATATATATATATATACATTGATACATATATATATATGTATGTCTATTATATGTATGTGTATACATCTATAGTTACCAGCTCCCTTCGGGGCGCGCAAGGCTGCGAAGGTGTGCGCGGTCTGATGTCTTGTGTTGTGTGTTGTCAGTTGTTGTTTTGCCTTTTGTCTCTCCACTCCTGTTTCCTGCCTCCTGCTACTGCGTGGTAAGGGGCCCCGCCGCGTCACCAAACAGCTAACGGGGGGGGGGGAACCTCAAATCCAGGCTGCTCTGTGCCACCCCAGGATTGCCATGGTGACGCCACCGTGCGGCCAGAACGGCCCGAGAGGCCTCCAAGATTTCCCGACGAGGCTCCGAGGAGGCCTCCAAGATTTTCCGGCCCACGATGGCCCCACAATGTCCCATGATGGCCCCAAGACGGCCCAATATGCCCCCAAGACGGCCGAAGAGGCCTCCAAGAGGGCTCCCAAGAGGGCCCCACGAAGGCGCTCCCAGACGGACCAAGAGGTTCCCAAGATCGCCCCACGACGGCCCTAGAAGCCCCCATGACGGCCCAAGAGGCCCCCAAGACGGCACCAAAGGGCCCCAAGACGGTCCCAGAGGCGCCACAGACGGCCAAAAGAACCCTAAGACGGTCCCAAGAAAGGCTCAAGAGAGTGTCCATGGGCCGAACCTGTCCGCCCCGAGAGGGTCCCAGGTGGCCCCAAGACGCCCCCACGAGGCCCCAAGGAGACCCCCAAGAGACCCACTATCTTGTTTCCAAGGGGCCCCAAGGAGATCCCAAAGAGGCCCCAAGGAGACCCCCAAGAAGCCTCCACCCTCGATGTGTGTATATATGGAATGCATCTGTGTATGTATGTATGTATGTGTGCATGTATGTATGCAGGTATGTATGTATGTATGTACGTACGTACGTACGTACGTACGTACGTATGTATGTATGTATGTATGTATGCATGTATGTATATATGTATGCCTTTATGTATGTATGTATGTACGCATGCATGCATGCATGCATGCATGCATGTATGTATGTGTATAGATACACATATGTATACATATATGGGCGCCCGCCCACCCCAGCACCGCCCAAACCAGCAACACCACACAACGATCACTGATCGCTTGCTCCTCCTCCTCCTCTTCCTCTTCCTCCTCCCCCTTCCACAGAACTTGTTCAGGATGGTCGCCGTAGGAGCATGGACCACGAAACCATGGCAGGCACAAGTGTTTCATGATTTTGGGGGTCAGAGATGCGACGAAACCATGGCAGGCACAGGTTTTTCAAGTTCTTTTGCCCAGAACGGCGTGCGGGAGGAGCGTGACCACGAAACTATGGCAGGCAAGGGTTTTCATGCTTTTAAAGTCAGGGATACCACGACACCATGGCAGGCACATGTTTTCAGGTGTTTTTTTAATTTTCAGGAGGTCCGCAAACTTGCCCAGAACGGCTTGCGGGAGGAACGTGGCCACGAAACCATGGCAGGCACAGGTTTTTCAGGCTCCCTCACTCAGAGATACAAAGAATCCATGGCAGACTTGTTTTCGGGGGGTCTGCACACTTGCCCGGAGCGGCTTCTCCGGACCTCCTGAGAACCATAAAACCTGGATAAACGGTGCCTGTAAAGGTTTGGTGGTATCTCTGACATGAAAAGCATGGAACACAATCGTGTGCCTGCCATGGTTTCGTGGCCACGCTCCTCCCGCAAGCCGTTCTGGGCAAGTTTGCAGACTTCCTGAAAACCTAAAAACATGACGGACATGAGCTTGCCATGGGTCCATGGTATCTCTGATCTGGAAAACCTGAAAAACATGCGCCTAGCATGGTGTCGTGGTCTCGCTCGTCCCGCAAGCCGTTCTGGGCAAATTCGCAAACCTCGTGAAAGCCGTCAAAACCTGAAAAACATGTGCCTGCCTTGGTTCCGTCGTATCTCTGACCCCAAAAAACATGAAACACCTGTGCCTGTCATGGTTTCGCGGTCCATGCTCCTATTCTGCCCTGTCCTCTTGTCGCTCATCCTCCGCCTCCGCTTCCTCATCATCGGGCACCTCCTCCTGTTTCTCCTCCCTTACCTCCTCTTCCTCCTCTTCCTCCTTTTTCATCACCCTCCTCGCATATTCATGCTTCCTCCTCCCCACTTGTGAACCCAGGCCGACAATATTCGAATGCACTGAATAGAGACAATGAAACGCGGGCGACAGACGACTAGACGACCGATCGGGCTTAGATGCCGCTAAATCATAACCATAACCAAAACCAGCACCAAAAACCAAAACCAAAAACCAAAACTACAACCGAACACCTGCACCATAATCACAACCAAAACCATAACCAAACCGAGACGCCGAACCAAAACCATAGCCACAACCATACTCAGAAACATAACTAGAACCAGCACCAACACCAACACCAACGCCATAACCATAACCACATTCAAAACCAATACCAAACCATAACCCAAACGTGTTTTTTTGCTTTCCGGAGAAAAAAAAGGCCACCGAGTCAGCGGCGTTGTCATTTCAGTTGCATTTTTGGCAAACCGAATTCCCGCGGCTTGGGCGCCAATGCCGTGGCAGTCGACGACAGAACGCATGCGCGACGCGACGCGCTGGCGAACGAAGCGAGGAGGGTAGCCTTTTGTCAGTCGCAATTTTAGCAGACTGAATTCCCGCAGGTCGAGCGATGATACTGCGGCCGTCAAAGAAAACCGAAGCTGACGAGGAGGAAGGCAAAAAGGAGGGAAAGGAGGATCTGGAACGGTGTGGACGAAATATAACAGGAGAGACAACGCTGTCGCAATTGCAAGGTAAACGACAAGAAATCAAGCAACTCGGGCTCCAGAAAAGCATGGGCCAGCGGAGAAGCGGCATCATGTATCATATGACGCTGTCTGAAAACAGCCGCGCGGATACATAGCGCCACGCATCGAAAACAACTTAAATGCCAGTCGCCTGCGACCCCCGACGGGGAAGCAAACTTGCCATTCATGGTTAGCGCTGGGCGAGACTGCGCGCGGCATGGTCCCGTCCTCTTCGCCCTGACAGGAGTCGCCGATTTCTGGATCGAGCGCATGCGCCCAAACGAAGTCAGAGATGGACACGAAAGGGCACGGATTCGCGTGGCCCCAAGCAGGCGCTGATCGGGTCGGGCGAAAGGGAGGGATAGCAAAGGGGGGGTTTCAGAATCAGCTCACGTAGCTGATTTTCCCGGCGCCTCCCGGCGCCGGAGGCGGCCATATATCGAGGAATGGGCCCCTCGGTGAGGCCGAAACCAGCTGCATGCAGCAAATTTCGTAACCCCCCCTTTCTCAATCCCCCCCTTTCGCCCGGCCCGAGCTGAGGAGGCCCCGCCGCCGTCCAGGACAACCCAACCGCGCTGTGCGACGGCTGCCTCCCTTCAAGAGTTCCGGGCCCCCTCGCAGACGCGATCCGGGTGAGGTGCCGCCCGCCGTGGCGCATGCTCTGCTGGAAATCGTTCGCGCTCACGGCTTTGCTGAAGGGGCCCCAGGACACACAAATAAATACATACAAACAAAAATATTCCAGATATTTTCCCATATTTTCTGGAATTTCGTCTTCCCCCCCCCCACTTCCGATATTTTCCCATATTTTCTGGGGAATCGACGATTAATTGTGTCTGTGTTTTTTTCCCTCCTGATTTGCACCGCAACGTGAAAATGCGTTCGGGGGCGCGCGCGATGAATGCGCCGGTGTTCGCGAGCAGCTGGCGCGGCACTCTGCCCCGCAGTGGATGCCTAAACGCGCGGCGAGACGTCGTCTGTCGATCCGCCATGCCATGTGCAGCGCTTCCACGGTGCTCATCTGAGATAGAAATCCAGAGCGTCGCGGCCACAGGGCCGAGAGAGGAGAGGGGGCGGAGACGACAGGCGGTTGGGCGAGAGAAGAATTGGAGCAGGAGGCAAGAGGTGAAGAGATGATGCAGGTGGTGGAGGAGCAGGAGGAAAAAAGAAGTTGAAGGCCTCTGGCAGGGTGGAGCGACGACAGACCATCGGAAAACGGCGCTCCGCCTCGCATTTAAAGCAATCGCCTGCCTTGGCTGGCGCGCGGGCATTGAACCGCGCATTCGAACCCGCGGCTGCGTCCACGGCGACGTGGCACTTCGCCGCCATGGGCTGCGCCACGCAGTGCGAGACCGCCATGAGCGCGCACGCAGGCAGCGATCCCTGGTCGAGCACCTGCGCGCGGCCCGCAAGGGCAAAACCTGGGACAGAGTTGAATGTGCGGCTAACCTGCGAGGCGGCGCCCTGCGCGAGCGTTAAGGCGGCCCTGACTGCGGCGGCGGCGGCGCCCATGGAGGACTGGTCGGCGGCGCCAACCCCGCGCGCGCGAGAAGCGTTCGCGCCGGCCTCGGCCGGCCCGCCATGGCTGATGAGACCGCCGAGCTCAGCAGCCACCTCCTTGACGAGCAACGCCCTGGTCTCTGGCTCAGGGGCCATCGGCCCCCGTGCCTGAGTAAGCTCAGGAGCAGAAGCTGCGGCCGATC